ATCTCAGTTACATCGCCAAAACATTGGGCCTCGCTACCTCCACTGTGAGGACAGTCCGTGATAACAAAGACAATATTAGGGCTAGTGCTAAAGTTACTACTGTACTCCATTCACAGCCCATACACTGTATTTTCATCGTAGTGATGTTATGATATGTATGGAACGCTTACTGAATGTGTGGAATGAGGACCAGATCAAGTAAAATGTACTCATTAGCACCATGATAATTCAGGAAAAGGCTAAGAGTCTGTATGAAGATTTAGTGAAGGAACAAGGTGCTAGTTCTGATGCAAAACCCTTTAATGCCAGTAATGGGTGGTTTCAATGGTTAAAGAAATGTCTAAACCTCCATAACTTTAAGATGGTAGGTGAAGCAGATAGTGCTGATACTGAGGCTGTAAAGTGATACCCAGCCAAACTAAAGGCAATCATTGAGGCTGATGGATACACACCACAGCAAGGGCACAATGAAGACGAAACCAGCCTGTTCTGGAAGCACACCAGCCAGGACATTTCAACAGAAAAGAAGACATCTCCAGGTTTCAAGGCTTCCAAGGATCGTCTAACACTTCTGTTACTTTTACTTTTTTTTTTACTTTTATTCTCTCCACCACTGATCGGCTCTTTAGCCACTGGTAACCTAAGTTACCAGTGATATGGCGTTCAAATAAGAAAGCGGGGATGACAGCCAGCCTCTACCAAGACTGGTTCACAGATTGTTTTTGTCCTGCAGTAGAAGGTACAGTAACCAAAGAAATATTTCCAACAAAGCCTTGTTACTGTTAGATAATGCTCCCAGCCACCTTATTGACCTTAATGATCTTTCCAGTAATATAAGGGTTGAATACCTGCCCAAGAACACAACTGCCTTGCTACAGCCTATAGATCAAGGTGTGATTTCCAGCTTTAAGACGTACTATTTACGTAGGGCATTTAAACAACTTATAGCTGCAATTGATGGTGAAGATCAGCAATCAGTCTGAGACTTTTGGAGGAAATTTAACATCATGAATGCTGTAGAAAACATTGTTGAGTCATGGGATGAGGTCAATTGTACAACAATGAATAGTATGAGGAAGAACATGTGGCCAGCGTGAGTCCACGATTTCCAAGGTTTTCCCCAGGTTCAGACCTCAAATGAGATGCAACAGAAAATTGGATCTCTGGCAAATGCTGCAGGGTTCGAGGATGTGGATCCGGATGGTGTGATTGAGCTGGTAGAGTCACACAGAGAGGATCTGTTAAATGAAGATCTGATGCTGATGGAACAGGGGCGAGCTGCTGGCGAGGAAAAGAAGGATGCCTGTACAAAAGTTCCATCTACAGCTCGTGAATTGACAATATGGTTTTGGCTAAGGGGATTAGTCAAATAGAAGAACTGATTTAAACCTTTGAGACTAATATTCCAGATAGTGAACACAGCCTCAAGTTTGGAAGAGGATTGGAGAACCTTATAAGCAGATACAAGGAGTTGTACACTCAAAAATTGCTCCATGAATGACAGACTAAATTAGTTAAGTTCTTTGCCACAAAACCTCAACCAGCAACAAAACAAGATGATGATGATCCACAAGGAGAGGCAGGAGTCAGCAATGACCCACCATCACCCTCCCAGTAACTACTATTGCACTACCTCATTCGACCACCTCAACATCATTTGTATCGTAAAATTCTAATGTTTTGTACATTCATTGTTACATCATAAATGACTCATTTTATGTGGTTAAAACTATATATTTTAATACATGTATGTGTTTGTGTCACTCTTTGTGCCTCAAAAAATTTCCGTAGGAATGCATTTCAACTTATAAAGTGGGAATCAATGGGAAAAATGGTTTCGCATTACAGAATTTCGCGTTTCAGAAAGAGTTTCAGAAGCGGAACCCTTACGTAACTAGGAGGATGCCTGTGTATTTATTCCATTTCAATACATTACTTGATAAAGGTTCAGTAGAGTACAGCCATGAATCTCTATACAGTATTGATTTTTACATTGAGGGATAGAAAAAGTCTATACAGTTGTCCCTCGGTTAACGAACGGTTCGGTTAATGAATTACCTTCCAGGACAATCTTCAATTCGGTTAACGAACAAAAATTTGATTAACGAAATCCTTACGAAAATCACGTTTTGTTGTGAGCATCAGCTGATCAGTAAATATCAATAAAGTTGTGCTCTTTAATATTTTTTTTCATGTGTTATATTAAAATTATTAGTCATTTTAACATTTATTTAACATGTTGATAATATATGCAGTACAGGGAACTAGTTTGTTGTGCACCCATCAGGTGCGTGAGTCGGTCACAAGGCTCAGTTGAGCTTTGAAAACAGTGGAGAGATCATCTATTTTGTTGGTGTCATGAATATTTTTGCATTTTTCATTGATATTATTGGTCATTCTGAACTTTAGTTAACATATTGATAATATATAGTGCAGTGCAGTTTTGATTTAAAGAAAATAATCTTGAATTACACCTAGTGAACTTAAAATTTTATTGGTGAAATGACGGCATCAAGCATGGGTCCCCTGAAAGGTGATTTCTCCTCCTTCCCCACTTCCTTCACTTCTCCCTTCTCCTCCACCCCACTTCTAATTCCCATCATCATCATCATCATCAACCAGGAACCTTCTACATACACACCTCAGAGTAAGTGTACTTTACTGCATTTTGTTTATACTTTGTAAGTACTTTTCTGTGAGCTGGAACCAATTACCCAATATCCCATTGAAACAATGGATTCGGTTAACAAAATTTTCGGTTAACGAACGACCTTCTGAAACGAATTGTGTTTGTTAACCGAGGGACCACTGTACAGCACTTTACTCTTTTTTTTAAGTTGGTCATCAATAAGCTAGCAAATATAAAATAAGCTGTTATCAACTTGTAAACAGTCATACAGGTACACCACCGATTTTCCAAGAACTGATGTTCCGGCACCTCCTTTAGTCCGGACAAAATTACGAGAGGGCACTTAACTTACCTCCCTCCCTCCCTCCCAGCCAGGGTGAAGGTAGTTTTAGGCTTAAAGTTTTTATCTTATAAAATGTAGCTGACTAGACTTAGCAGAATATAAATTGCATTGCTGGAATCTTTGTAAGATAGTGATTAATTTGAATATAAACATCACAAGGTTTGCACAAGGGATAATTTTTATCAGTCTAGTGTAGTACATGTGAGTACAAGTTTTTTAACTCATATTTTCGGGAAGATAAATGTAACTTTCTTCATTTATTTTTACTCATTTACATGCACACACCATCCTAAATATATATTGTGAAAAAAGTAAAAGATATAATTGTCCTAAGGACAAATCTGTACTCAAATGTACTATGTTAATTACTAAAAATTTTATGTCTAGTGCAAACTATGGGAAGTTTGTTCTTAAATTAATCACGATCTTACAAGAATTACAGCAATGCAGGTTATATACTGTCAAGCTAATTCAGTGACATTTTATAAGGGAAAACTTAAACCCCCTCTATTTGATAACTATGCACTTTGTTATCTACCCTCCCTGACAGCTATCAACACATCAAAAGAAAAAATATAAATAAAAAAGATAAAAACATCACCCTCCCCCTTCCTTCCAGCCAGGGTGATTTTTTTTTTTTTTTTATCCTCTTCAGTTTTAGGCTGCTGAGATTCAATGTCACGAAGTGTAAGAGGATGCACCTGGGACGTACCAACAGTAAGGAGGCGTATCAAATGTCCCAACGGGATGAAGAAACTGCACTAGTTGAGACTGAATGTAGAAGGACCTAGGTGTGTATGTTGACAATGAGCTGAAGTTCTCGGGCCATTGCGAGAAGAAGGTAAATCAGGCAAATAAATTATTGGGTCTTATAAGAAGGTCGTTCAGATATCTAGATGGTCCGTCCCTCGTAACAATCTTCAAGAGTGAAGTGCTTCCCCATCTGGAGTACTGTCACCCAGTCTGGTCCCCGAGATATGCTAGGGACTGTCAGTTGGTTGAAAATGTTCAAAGGAGGGCCACCAGACTGGTGCCTGCCCTTCGGCACCTCAGCTACCCTGAGAGATTGGAGAGCCTGAACTTGCCTAGCTTATTCTACAGACAGGCAAGGGGTGACCTAATTGAGGTGTATAAGCATCTCAAGGGGACTACTCAGTCGAGTGTCTTCACTTGGAACTGGCAGACACTCACCCCACAAGGGGTCACAGCTCAAGATTGAAGAAGCCACAAGCCCAGAAAACTGTGAAGGCAAACTTTTTCGGTGTGAGAGTCGTGAACTCTTGGAACAATCTACCAGAGTGTTGTGGCGGCGCCGAGTGTGAGCTCTTTCAAGACAAGACTTGACCAACACTGGAGCAGATTCAGGTACATTCAGGAGCCGGTGCATGCCCAGTACTTGCCAACAGTGCATAACAGAGACGTGACCGATCGCCCAAGCGGCTAACGAGTCGATCATTTAGTGAAGAGGATAAAGTAAAAGTTATAAAATATAGCTGATTAAACTTAGCAGAATATAAATTGCATTTAATATTTGTTTAATTTAAGTTTCTAGCAGTCCATGATGCTTTCGAGACACAGGAGGTGTATAATGTAATTAGTGGGTCAGAAGTGTATTGTTGCATTATTATTACCTGACCTCAGTTGGTCTGGCAAAACTGATAATTCGGCAACGCTTTGGAACCAAGGGTGCCGGAAAATCGGTGATGCACCTGTATTTTGTATATCATCACTACAACAGTAGCCTGTTCAAAACAATTACAGCAAAATGCATCTAATAGTTGTTGTTTGACACAAGACCAATTCAAGTCTCATTCATCATCTACATTTGTCACTAACATAATATCTATCTAGATACCTGTTGTTCACATTTTAAAAGTAAGAAAATTAAAACATGTGTTTAAGGTCAGCATACACGGTACAGTTCCTAATGTTTCTAATAATTGTTTGTTTCCTCTTTAAAATTCAATACTGTGCCCCCTCCCCCAAAATATGCAAATGTTTGTTACGAGTTAAGTCTGGTGTACTGACCAAATTGGGTATGATGGGGTCAGGGTAAGAGAGGAGGACATGATATGGCACGAGATGAACCTGGTCAAGCCCCTGCTGCTGCCAAGTATGTGCCACCCACTATGCCACCTCCTTCTCTGCCTCCGTCCCTCCTAGGTGAGGTTGACGAGTCAGGTATCTGCACATCACACACAGTAGACATTCTTTTATTTAAAAAACTGCACAATACACAGTACATTGTATACACAAAAGTAACTAAACTAAACAAAATGAACTTTTATTATATAGAGGAAATATTGGATACTAACAAAAAATATGAAATACATATGAATTTCTTACCTGAGGAAATGCCTAATATTTTCTGGATTTATATTTTTAATCACATAGTCTTCAACTGCAGCAAGAGAGATTTCAGTTCTGCGCGAAAGTTCTCTTGGTTCATCAGTCGACATAATCACTGAAACTATAAAGACAATAAGCCATCACAGAATCAACAACAAAGTAATAATTAACAGGAAAACTGTCACCCAAGATCAACTATTGCAAGATGACTCACCAGTTAATATCAGTGTTGCAGTGCCAATTTTTAAGGTGCCGGAGCTGTCAAAATAATTTCCTTTTCCCAAACCGTATATATACAGTAATACCCCGATTTACGCGGTCAATTGAACCCGCAGAGTAGCGCGTAAAACGAGAAACGCGTAAATGGAATAACAGAACATATGGGATTAATTGAAATAGAGACTGGGCCGACCCCCAAACTCCATTTTTTCAGACACAATACCTACGTTGTAGCAAAAATAGTATCTTAACTTTATGATGGTATGCACACACACATAATATAGAAGAGAAATACCAATAAGAGTATAATATACTGTACCAGGTAAAAGAAAAATCAAGGTTTAACACTTACGTCAGGTTAGGTTAGGTTAGAAAAAATTAAGATTTAACACTTACGTAAGGTTAGGTTAGAAAAACTCAAGGTTTAACACTTACGTAAGGTTGGGTTAGGTCAGAAAAAATCAAGGTTTAACACTTACGTTAGGTTAGGTTAGGTTAGAAAAAATTCAGATTTAACACTTACGTAAGCTTAAGTTTGAAAAAATCAAGGTTTAACACTTACGTCAGGTTAGGTTTGGTTAGAAAAAATCAAGGTTTAACACTTACGTAAGGTTGGGTTAGGTTAGAAAAAATCAAGGTTTAACATTTAGGTTAGGTTAGAAAAAATCAAGGTTAGGTTAGGTTTAACACTTACGTTAGTAGAAGAGATGGGTCGGCATACGGGAATGGCGGCTGGTTCCGAGGCAGAGGGCAGATTACTGGCCCTCAGGTGAATCACCATTACTATCCACCACAGTTGTCAGGGCCTCCCTGACAAATCCCTCAAAGTCACCATCACTGTCACTATCACTGGCTTGGGCTGGCTATGGTGGGTTGCGGGCGAAGAAGTCTGTGATGTTACGCTGACGGCTAGTGTGGATGTTGTTGTGATACACCTTGATGTACGGCTCCATAGTGTGCAACAGCTGGTTATTGAAGACTTCATAGCGGGTCAGGGTCGTTGGAAAGGATGAGTTTCAGTTTCTCTGCAAACTCGATGGCATCCTTAACATTACCATGCGTTAAAACTTCTATTCTTCTCGGGATGACGCACCACCTGCCTCTTCACTGACGTCATCGTCTTCTAACAACTCGTCGGCAGTCACCTCAGGATCCCTTATCACCTCCATAATGTCGTCATTAGTGGTCTCGGAGAAGCCTGCAGCTGTAACACTCTGCGCAGCTTCTCCTGCAAGGTCCACTGCAACAGACTGAACCTCCACCAGTCACAGGTTGACTCTGCCTCCCACCTGGGATACCCTGCAACACATGCCGCCACGCGTGACAGACAGCTGCCCCCATGCCTCCACCAAGAAATCAACAACTTTCTTTACGTTAAACATTTTCCAAAACTGTTTAACTCGCACTTCATGCTCCGCCAACTTTTGTTCTGCATCCTCGTTGTCGTCGCTCTCGCTAACTGTGCTACTCAGAAGGTTACGCAACTCATCCTTGGTGTTGGTACAGTCGTTCAGAAGCTTAAACTTCTTTGCAGAGAACGCAGCCTTAACGTTGCATATCAACTCCTGGTCCATGGGCTGGATTCATTATGTAGTGTTGGGAGGAAGGAAGCCCACTTTTACGTTGGGTGATGATCCAACAATAGGGGCGAGTGTCCTGGTGCGTTATCAAGGAGCAATAAAATGTTGAATGGCACATTCTGTTGCTCGCAGAATTTCTTGACGTCGGGAACGAAACAATCGTCAAACCAGGAGAGGGACAGAGCAGAGAACATCCACGCCTTACGTGCGGTTAGCCAGTGGACATTTAGCTTGGTCATGTCTATGTTTTTGTAGGCGTGCGGCTTGCGAGCTGTATGGATCACCGATAACTTGAGTTTACAGGTACCGGAGGCATTGGTGGTAAACAAAATGGTGATGCGCTCCTTCTGCAACTTCTGGCCCCAACACTTGCTGGCAGACTTGACAAGGAAGGTCTTGGAAGGCAGCTTTTTCCAAAACAGACCAGATTCATCCATGTTGAACACCTGGTCGTCGGTGTACTATCCTTCCACCATCACGTCACGTAAGCATGGAGGAAAATCACTTGCCGCAAAACGGTCAGCACTCGCTCCTTCACCAGCAATGTTAATGTTGGTGATCTTGTTCCTCTTCTTAAACCCTTGCAGCCACCCAGAGGAAGCAGTGAAGGGTTTGGGCTCTGCAATTCCCATCTTACGTGCCACTGCTACAAACAGTTCACGTGCATACTCTTGAACCGACGGCGTGTCCACAGCCATGTTCCATCTTGCCTGACGAATCAAGTAGCCCACAGGTAAATTCTCCGTCTTGAGAAGCACCTTGTTCTGGCAGTACTTCATCATTGAAGCACCTGCAGACTTTGTGATGTTCATGTGTTCTTTTATCTTTGCTGCATCCTTCTTGATCGTCCGGATCATAGATTCGTTAACACCATGCTGGCGCGCGAGATCAACCTGTCTTGTTCCTTTTTCTAAATCTTGTATTATCTTGTACTTCACCTAGTAACTTAGGGCAAGTCGTATCTTCTTTGGCGTAGGGCGGCTGGGTCCAGGTAATGCAAGGTTTTTCTGTGGTGGTGGAGGTCCAGTGGAAGCCATTCTTACGAGATTATCGGAACAATAGAACACAGTATACACGGGGTGACTGGGAGGATCGTAACAGACGCGGCTAGGTCAAGCGGCTTCTTCCTTCTCGCGGCAGGGCACGTCATATTACATTAAACCAATCACAGCTAGCGGCAGAGGGATGTAAGGATGCGTGGCCCAATCACAGTCCGATACGTCATATGATGTCACCGATAACGCAACACAGACATACACTGCGCAACCTACTCGCGCCGCTTACCTTACATGGCGGGAGGTTTGAATCCAAAATATGGCGAGGCGCGGCAGGACCGCCAGCTGCTCTCCGAGTAAATGACTAAACGCGTAAGCGAAAACCGCGTAAATCCAGTCTCAACTGTGTGTATATGTATGTATGTATATATATATATATATATATATATATATATATATATATATATATATATATATATATATATATATATATATATATATATATATATATATATATATATATATATATATAGTATATATATATATATATATATATATATATATATATATATATATATATATATATATTTCATTAGCCCAATAGAGCACGAGGACTTCTACATACAATAAACACCTCAACCCACCAGGATTCGAACCCACGGCCCACGAGCCTATGACTGTGACCGGGGAATGCGTTCCCCGGTCACAGTCATGGGCTCGTGGGCTGTGGGTTCGAATCCTGGCGGGTTGAGGTGTTGATTGTATATATATATGCATATATATGCATATATATATATATATATATATATATATATATATATATATATATATATATATATATATATATATATATATATATATATATATATATATATATATATATATATATATATATATATATATATATATATATATATATATATATATATGCAAGTAAATCACTGTAGATGCGTGTGATCCAGGTATATGCTGATAACCACAAGGAAAAAGAAAACACGAAGTTCCCAAGCGCTTTTGTGTAATTCACATCTTCAGGGGTGAGTATAGACTAAGGAGAAGTACAAAACAAGGTGTATATATACAGAGGAGAGAGAGATCCTGTGCATATATGCACAGTAATACCCCGCTTTACGCGGTTCTCGTTAACGCGTTTCCACATTTACGCAGTACCCCGCCGGAACCGAAATTCCCACTTTACGCAGTGCATCTACTCATATACGCGGGAAGCGGCGTGGGCAGGGCGCACACAAGGTAGCCCAGTCATCAAAACATTACCGAGTTCTTCACCCGCCACAGCCAGCCCAAGTCAGTCATAGTAAGGATATGGACTTATATGGACTTTTAGGGGTTTGACAAAGAGGCCCTGCAAGCCTCTGTGGTGGATAGTGATACAATTGATACAAGTGATACAGGTGAGGGCCAATAATCTGCCCTCTGCCTCGGAACCAACCTCCCATCCCCATGTGCGCAGCCATCTTTTCTACTAACGTAGGTGTTAAAAAACCTAATATTATTGATATTTTTCTTAATTATTAATTGTGTGTGCATACCATCAAAAAATTAAGATGTTATTTTGACTACAGGGTACGTATTGTGTCGAAAAAAGTGGTGTTTGGGGGTCGGCCCAGTCTCTATTTCAATTAATCCCATATGTTCTGTTATTTCATTTACACGTTTCTCGTTTTACACGGGCCTCCACGGGTTCAATTGACTGCGTAAATGCAGACCCCACTGTACTTACGTTCATACAATGGAGTGTTAGTTACAAGACTAGCGTGGTTATCCTTAAACTATATCTCACATATGTGAGAGCTCACTTGGATTAGGCAGTCCCCGACTTACGACGGGGTTAGGGACCCAAATCCAGGTCGTAAGTCGAATTGGTCATAAGTCGAAAATGTGAAAATAATACATAGAAAATCTAAAATGGGTGTCTCTTTTTCTTCTCAGCACCACAAAACTCTCACTTATAAGCTTGCCAGCCATTTTAAAGGGAATTACAAACAAAAATTTTGCCAGTACACAGCACAATCACTAACGTCGGGACTCAAAAATACGTAATTTGAAAAATTTTTGGTATGACTGGGACGGTCGTATGTCCGGGTGGTCGCAAGTCGAGTAGGTCGTAAGTCGGGGAGTACTTGTATATGATTCAGTTTGGTCACCGTATTATAAAATGCATATCGAATCCCTAAAAAGCAGTCAGAAAAGGATGACAATGCTAATCCTGGGCATTAGGAACCTTGAGTAAGAGACACATTAAAGCATCTGGATTTGCACTCCTCAACAGACATAGAGTGAGGGGCAATAAGATCGAGTTGTATAAATAGAAGACAGGGTTAAACATACGTTATATAA